ACTTTAAAGCTGGATCCGCCCCTGATCAGGTACACACTTGGTAAAGCTCTAGGCAAAGTAGCTGAAATCCACCCGAATGCCAATAGTAAAATTACAATTTATTAGAGTTACATTTATTAGAGTATTACGATACTTAGACATAAAATATGGGACTACGGGGACATCCGAACCAATGATAAATGGACTGAACGTGTGTAAAGCTCTGGTGCTTTACGAATAGAAATTATTGGTTTGATAAGAATCCTAGTTGTAAGCTTTTTTGTGCCATTTGCCATGTGCGGCGGATAAAAGTTGCTATCGGGGAAAATTTTATGGGGCACGTGTCGCAAATTTTTAGTGTCCCGCCCTAGAATCTTTCACCTCTGCACTGCTAATTACGTAAAAACTCCATCTACCATTCCACTCTATTGCGATGAAATAATTGACGCGATCAAAGCGTAAACAAGTAAAGTCGAAAGCAATACGTTTGATTTATCCAAGTGTTGCCGCTCCATCTACAGCTCCAATTCGCTCTAAGAGTTCAGGACGTGCTAAATCCCCTGGCAGCACTTTGAGCTTCATGTTTGCGACAAATGAAATATGTCTTAATATTACACACATATTTGACTTGAATATATGAGATTTGTTCAAGACTCTCGCCACCCTCGAGAAATAAACTGCACTGTCAACTCAACCAGTGCTGGAGGACTTTATAGTTGTTTTTTCAATTAAATTGACTCATTTTCTGCCACATATGCAGAACCGCAACTCCCATACCAGGCCGGTTTTATTAGTAGTGGCCCCCAAAAATGCCAAGCGAACATTAAATCGATTGCTGCAAAGTGAGTTTAGTTTGGGGAAGTTGATAGTTCTACAATTTTGGATTAACTAAGATAAACTTTCTACTCTAACTAACTTCGTCCTTTTTGATTAGCTTTTACTTTGGATAAGTTTAAAACTTAAAGTTAATTGCGCTACGTCTCTGTCCTGGACTCTTCTATATTTCGCACTAGGCTGGAACACGTCTGGAGTGTAATTGGGCCAATTTCGCCGTTGCTGACCTAAGCAAATTGATTTTTGGAGGTAACGATGAAAAAGCCAAGTAAGCCCGAGCAAATCCGATTTTCCATCCAATGACTGTGTAAAGTATACGCGTTACATGACCTCCGATATACTGCCCTGCTAAGACAAGAAGTCGCATCTGCAATTTTCACTTTTTCAGCTTATGCGGAATACTGGTAAAACAGAGTTTGCTTTACCTCCCAGACAAGTTCTGGAAGTCGTATCATCATTAGAATACGGGTTTTTAATGATATTTATATGTCCTATCTGCAAAAATCTACCAGTTACCAGGTCAAAAAGTCGTATTGATAATTACCAAGTCATATTGTCGTATCTGCTTAAAAATATTTCACTTACGACATTTTCGTAAGTCAAATGATCAAGTCGTAATGAACAAAAAGTCATATTGATAATTATTATTGAGTCTTTTTGCCATATGACGTATATGAAAATGTGGTTAGAGATATTTTGGTTAGAGTTCGTTTATTAACTGATATTATTACTGCGATTATTTTAGTGGTTGTGTTTGTTAAGTTAGTTTCGAAAGTGTTGAACTATTTCATGTGTTTCATCCGTGCCGTTTATTCTAAGGTTATGTGTTTTTTATTTAGTTTATGTTAGTTTTATTAGATTTACTAGCCCTAAACAAGGAGTTAGTTTGGGTTAGTTGCCAACTGATACCGCAAGTGAAAAGCCTGCAGAATTCATTGGAGATTTATTGAACATTATCATAGAAAATGCTTTAAAAACCGGTGAACAAAATCAATCACGAAAATTCACTAAACAAGGAAAAGTACGAAAACGGAAAAGTCACAGCAAATCATTACAGGAAAGAAAGAAACTGAAAAGGGAGGAAAAAATTGCACAGCATGACGTGCAAGAAACATGTAAGGAAAATTGTACAAAAAAATGTACCCAAGCAATTGACATATGGAGACAAAATGCTATAAATAAAGAATTCTGGGGAATGACCCATGAACAACACCGACAATTTATTTTTACCACGTTAAAAAAAGTCGATAAGAAAAGAAAAACTAAAGTTGGAGACTCCAGGCGAAGTAATACAATTAACTACTATTTAAAAGATAATACAGCGAATGATGTAAGAGTTTGCAAAAATTTTTTTTGGCAGTTTTGGGCTATCAAGTCCATAACGATAGAATAGTTAGAGATGTTTTGAATCAAACTGATTTAAAATGTTATGTTTGTCAAACAATTAAAGACAGGGCATCCATCTGAGAAAAAAATTGACAGAGAACACGTAGTTTGTCATATTAATTCTTTTAATCCAATTATATCGCATTATAGAAGGGAACACGCCCCAAATCAAAAATATCAGTGATATTAGCATTAAATTAATGCATGCAGATTTTCTACAAAAGTACCCCGAAATGAAAATTTCATACGAACTTTACCGCCAACAAGTAGCTGAGATGAATGAGTAGTGCTGGCAATGCGAAACATTTAACCTTCATTCCAAAAACTTAAAACATGATAAAGAAAATACTGATCCCGACTGCGATGATTGCCAAAAATGAAAAAGTCACTATGAAAATGCCATAGAAGCGAGAACTTAATATAAAAATGACGTATCTACAAAAGCAGGATCTGAATCATTATTTGTTTCTGCAGACTTGTAAAAGGTGGTTATTATATCACAAGTATAATAAAGTAAATTTAAAGAAATCACTGTGAAATGTTTAAAGAAATCATTTTTACACCAAGGATCATTTGTTTTAACGAAAGCTTTGTTGCTCTGGGAAAGCAATCCCTTGCAAATAAGCCGGTCGCTCTTGTTTGGCCTGAAGGCGTGGCTGGAAGAAGTAAATCTGATCTAATATCAACCTTTTACAAATTCCTGTTGTTTCACCGTGATGTTAAAGAAATAACAATTTGGCTAGATAACTGCGCTTCGCAAAACAAGAATTGGGCCTTGTATTGCTTTTTTGTTTTTATTATTAACTCGTTAGAAGTAAATCTAAGTTTATTAAAATTAAAATATTTACAAACTGACCACACTTTCATGTTCGCTGACTCTTTCCGAGTGGAAAAGTCTTTAAAACAAACAGGAAAAGAATTAGATTTCGAGGATTTTAAAAGGTGTGTCAAAAAATCAAATAGTTCAAGGGTAGAGATGATTGAAATGAGCCTTAATGATTTTCATGATTTTATTGACTATTCTGCAGGATTCAAAATGAACAAAATTACACCTAAACCATATTTAGCAAATTTTGKTGAGGTTCAATTTAAAAGGRRCTYTAAAAWCCTTTTTTWTWAAACYAAATTTAGTGGACCATTGATTGAACTCAACTTTCTATTGGCCAAACATTATAAAAATGACCTACCAAAACCTGCGATCAGATTGGCCCCTAAAGGAATTGACATGGATAGGAAAGCCAAACTGCTGCAAAAATTACGAAACACTGTCTATCTTTTTGGCAAGATCTGCCAGTGAACGACGGAAATGATATTGATGAGTAGATTGGGTACTTGGAAGTGATTATAGCGGGTAGTAAATGATAAGTACTCAAATACAAAAAATCATCTGGACCAGTTATCGGCGCCATCGATCTTCCTCTCGATTAGACAGTAGGGATCACAATTTGCAGCTCTTCACATTGGCACGACAGCGTCTCAATCAATCACTCAGTCATGGAAAAGATTACTTTTGATTTACTTCAAATATTAATGGCATCATTTCAATTAATTTTGTCAGAGATTACCGTTCTAATCGAATTACCACCCGGAGGAGATAATCACTCTAAGAGACGATGATCTTGATTCTCTTTCCGTTTTGCTCCGCACTTACTGATTTAAGATATTCCCATGGGTGTACTTAAAAAGCCAAGAAAATAGTCGAAGGAAACCTAGTTTATTGATTTCATTCAAGTTGGACAGTTCTGTTGGTTTCTTCGGCACCACTCTGGCTGGAGCGCGTCTGCACCGATTCCTAGAGCCACCAGGCGTTCGCGATGAAACAACATGCGCTCTTCTGCAGCCTCCCATGTGGTTTCCGGCGCAGACCACAGAGTTTCCGCAAAAGCGGCAGCTCTGGGCCAAAGTCGCGAATCTACGGTATCGCTTTCGGCTTCCTCGGTCCAGAGCACCGTTTCTCCTCCCAACACCTGGGCAACGCTGGTTCCTGAAATCCCATCAAATAACCCCCTAAATCGTTAAAAATTGCGATCCACTTGCCTGCAATGTTTACTGGCTTGTTGTCATATACAGTCTGCCAACCCTTATAAGGCGAGCACCAGTTGGTCCCATTGGTCACCCAGCCGGCAAAGCCGCAGTCCAAGTACAGCCCATCGTAGTTACTCAAAATTACGCTGTAGTTCTGGCTGAGCAGCGTTTGAATGGAGCTGCTGTCCGCAGAGTCCCAGATCTGGATAATATAGTCCTCGGGCGGTAGAATTGAGGTGACATTGTCCAGAGCGGTCAAGTCGCTGCTCCACAAGATGATGGGAATCTGCGCGCCTGCCTGCTTGTACAGCCTTTGGGCGGACTCGTTTTGGAAGTACGGCCACACCTTTTCCTGGAAGTCGCTCTTGCTCAAGCCCCAACCCATCTCGTCCACCATCCAAGCGGTCAGATTCGATGTGATGTTCCAGCAGGCCACATTCACCTCGTCGCCTCCCATGTGGAAGACGTCAGTGCCGAATTGCGTCAATAAGTCCCCATAGAGGTCTTTAACAACAATGTTCCATTAGCAAAAAGTCTAGATATTCTGCCACTAGGAAATTGACAGTTTCAACAAGACGGGGCTCCTGAGTACATTGCCAGACCAGTTCGGAGTGCCGGTCTCGACAGTTTTCAGGAAGATCGATCGGAACTTATGGTGGCCAGCACGATCGCCAGACTGAACCCCGCTCGGATTTTTAAAATGGTTTTTTTCACGCAAGAACCGACAGAAATAATACTGTGTGATACATCGTTGAATTCGCTATTTAAAGGGTTAGCTAATGCGTTATGTACTTTTTTTCGTCCCATAGGAAAAACAAAAACGACACTTTTCGCCCTTGTTGGAGTTGGAAGCTGAAGAAAGAGTTTAATACTCGGCCATCCACGGTACATTTGGTGTCAGAACCCCAGTTTGATTGCACTGCTCATGCAGATGAAATACGAAATGAGCGACAACAGTAGGAAAATGATGGACGAAATGAGCGACAAAAGTAGGAAAATGGACGAAAAAATGGACAAAATGAGTGACCAATACAAAGAGATTCTGAATAAAATGGACGACACCGCTAAGAAAATTGAAGACCTGAAAACAACCGTTGAAGGCAAGCTAAAGAACATCGAGGAAGTGACTGATGATTTGGAAAACATTGAAATCGTGGACATTCCTGCAGTAGTGGAAGAGCCAGAATATAAAAATCTAGTAGTTAAAGAGCCGAAAGTTGATCGACAAGATGGTATTGTCGAGATTACGAATGAACAAATTGCTCAGGAGCATTTAGAGGAAATTCAGGTGGAGCCCGAAGTGGCTAGTTCTGATCAGAAACTGTCCTTAGTTGGGGAAATAACTGATTCAGTTGTCTCTGAAGGAGATGATGTGGCTAAAACTGATAACTCTTGTGAAAACTTACCAGGTATTATGCTATCAAAAGTAACTGTTTCAACAGAGGGAAATTCTCAAGTGGCGAAAGAAGTCGACTCTGTGGAAGAGACATTAACAGCGGCGAAAGTGAAGGAAGTGGTAAAGAAGGAAAGTATAGCAATTTTGGAATCACAGGACGAACACGCTGAAGAACTCCCATCAGACAAGGTGATTACGGACGAAGCGACTATTGTGAAGACTGAAGAATTGTCGGTTGCTGATAAAACTGTGAGTGATAAAATCGAAGACATCACTAGGCCAGGAACATGAGTATGTAACTATGCAAAAAAATGCGCAAAATCTGCTTGAATCAGCGAAAACTATACCCGAAATAATGCCCAGAAGGAAAACTGTGGAACCGGACTTAGAAAACGCAGTTTGTTTGAGTGAAGAACCATCTGATTCTGAGTGCAATGGGCCAACTAGCGATAAACCCGTACATGACTTGCCAGCATTAGATGAGGACGCTAATTTAATTAAAGTCGCTACTGAAGTTGGGCAATTTTCCGACCCAGAATTGCCGATAGAAGAAAACATTCCCATCGAAGAAAATGCGCCAGCCGAAGCTCAGCCTGCTGCAGAATCCGTAAACGCTGCATCGAATTTGGAGACTCTTTTAGCAGTGGCGTCATTACAGAACGAATCTGTTGTTGACATCACTAGAGAGCATCGACGGTTAAGCGAAAACGAAATTAGGGAAAAGAAAGCCATCGATAATAGACGAGACAACTTGCTACGGAACGAGCGGGCGCAGGAGTATCTGTTCGATGCCAATGAGGCCGAGAGCTGGATGATCTACATGATGGTGGAAGATCGGGGCAAAGATGAGACCATCTCCAGGAACTTCATGAAAAAGCACGAAAGTCTGGAAGCGGCCGTTGAAGCTTATGCGGACACCATCAGAGGACTGGGTGAAACAGTAAAGGCCCTGTCGGCTGAAGGACATCCTTTGGCCGAGCAGGTCGCTGTTAAACAGTCGCAACTGGACAAGCTGTATGCCGGACTGAAGGATTTGGCGCAAGAACRTCGCGCTAAGCTGGATGAGGCCTTGMAGCTCTTCYTGCTCAACAGAGWCGTTGGCGAYTTGGAGCAGTGGATAGCTGATCGCGAARTGGTGGCCTCTTYTCATGAACTGRKCCRAGATGCTGSTTCTGTTTCAACGCTGCAGCGCAAACATCAGAACTTCATGCAMRACCTASAGACGCTTCAGAACMAASTGCAACAGATCCAAGAGGAATCGGKCAAGCTTCGASCCAGCTATGCGGGCGACGGAGCTAARGWGATSACAAATAGRGMACAAGAAGTGGTGTYTGCRTGGGCCAGTTTGCAAATGGTTTGCGAGCAGCGCAAAGGAAAACTGGCCGATACTGGCGATCTGTTCAAGTTCTTCAACCTGGTGAGGACGCTGATGCAACGGATGGACAAGGTGGTGCGCCAAGAGAACACCAGCGAAAAGCCGCGCGACGTCGGCGGCGTTGAACTGTTGATGAGCAATCAGAAGAGCCCTCAGGCAAAATTTAAAGTTGTCCACATTCACCGTTTGGCCAGATATAACCATGATCCAGGAATTACCTAATCGGGGCGATCAGGGTTTAGAAGGGGGGCAGTGTAACGGAAATGGCCTGGGGTACTCATGTTGGAAATGGAAGGATCAAAATTCGTAGTATTTCAGTAAATGGGAGCCCCATTTGCCCCCCATTTACTGTCAAATATGACACTGACAAGCGGGAAGTTTCGCACCTGTTCTGGAGATTTCGAGAACCATCTGGGTTACCTGAAGGAATCTATATAAGCGGCAAGAAAAACCACAGGGGGGGAGTGAAGTCACAGCAGCCACTGAGTGCAGAAGAGGTTATTGTTATTGTTTGTGAAGTTGACGATAATTTTGAAGTTAGTTTGTTCCTGTTCCGTATTTAAACTTATACCGAGGTGAATAAAAGTTGGAAGCTGAAGAAAGAGTTTGATACTCGGCCATCCACGGTATAATATAGAAGGGAAAAATACCTTCAAGGATATCATAGACCCCAGACTGTGAAGGATCGAACTGGCCGCATGGAGGTTCGGCGCAATAGTCAGTCCACGGCTTCTGGTTGAAGCACGTGAGCACTCCGGAAGTTTGCCAGCCCTCGCCCACATGAGCTGGCGAGTCGAGTTCTGGCACCACTCGGATGCCCCTCACCCTGGCATACTCAATAATGCTTTTCACGTCGTCGTCGGTGTAGACCTTGCTTGATGAATAGGCCCCGTACTCGGACAGTTCTGGATGCGAGCTGGACACGTATGGGAAACTGGCAGTATCGGTCAAGTGCCAGTGGAAGGTGTTGAGCTTCGAGGCGGCCATCGCCCGCAGGGTGCGCTTTATGGCCTTCGGAGTGATGTAGTTTCTGGAAAACAGCTGTGGATTTGAGGCTTTTTTATCGACTAAAGCTGCCTACCTGGCGGTATCCAGGCAAACTCCTCTCCAGTTGAAAGCTGGCTGGTCTGAAACAGCAATAGAAGCAGGAAAGAGGGTTCGGTTGCGCAAGTCATCAAACACGACCAGTTGGCTCAGAGTTTCCAGAGCGTGTCTGGCTCCGAAGAACGTTTCGGCTGTGATGGTGACATTAATGGTGCCGTCATCAGTAGCAAGTCCTTGCAGCGTGTAGGACTCGTTCGTTCCGAAGCTGAGCTGCTCAGTGTCTTGATCGGTTATTTCAAATTGCACTTGCACGGCTGAGCCATTCGAGCTGGAGTTTCGCAAAAAGGCCTTGCGTGGCAACTGCAGCGTGAATTGGCTAGTGAAGATTCCAAAGGCCGCCCCCACCAGGCTGGATATTGTGGTGTTTTCTTCGCTGGTGAAACTAAATGCGGATACGTCGATCAGCGTGAGGTTGTCGATCGAAATGTTTCCGGTCGGTTGTGGCCACACTGAAGCGTAGTCTAGGCAGAGGATGTTGCATTCGGCCAAGCTTAGGGGCGATGTTGTGTTTTCCGTTATTAAAGTCTTCTCGCAGTAGCCGTCAGTACATTCGTAGTGCCATTTCGAGTTGTAGCCGCTGAAATTACGGTTTTTATTGGCGACAATAACTCAGGTTTTGGCTCAACAATTCTTCTAATCGTTTAAGGATGATGCTTGACGCAAATCCATCTATTTTCGCACTTTTATGGGGGATATTAACCTTAATTTTCTCACTAGATTCTACTACGATTCAAAAATGAGATTCGGTTTATTGAATCTTCAATAAACCGAACAGGAAGTTGTAAAAATTAAGCTATTTGTGCGATAATTCGCCTGGAAATGTACGATTATGGAAAACTTCGGGAACGTCGTCAGTTTATACAACAATGCTGGAAAAATTTGGCAGCTTCAGTCACGGAAAGAAAACCCCGCTGTGTATACCAACACTAATTTGAACCATTGACGATTGTTGAGTTAATAAGTTGCGGTCGACTAAGGCTTGGTCCCGACGTTTCGCCAGCTGACCTGGCCAGCATCTTCAACGGCCAACAAACCGTGATCATGCCAGCGAAGCGTCAGGAGCGAATTCCAGCCGAGCACATGCTTATATCGGAAAATTCTCCAAGTGTGCGCACTCAAAGCAAACACCTCTGAAGATGGTGTAAATATTAGCCGTGCATGCCAGCGGAAACACCAGTACCAAATGAATAATGAAAGACTTGTGGCATCAGCAGAGCCATAATGAGCTTTTGAAATAGACAAGTGCAGATTTCGAAATGCGCCAACCTCAGGCMCCCCCAGGACCGGTTTCGAGCCTATTAGCTCTCATCAGCTGGGTTCAGCCTGAAATTAGCCATTCCGAAACTGATCTTAGGGGTGCCTTGGAGGTGCAGCTTTAGAATTGTGCCAACCTCAGGCACCCCCAGGACCGGTTTCGAGCCTATTAGCTCTCATCAGCTGGGTTCAGCCTGAAATTAGCCATTCCGAAACTGATCTTAGGGGTGCCTTGGAGGTGTAGATTTCGAAATGCGCCAACCTCAGGCACCCCCAAGACCGGTTTCGAGCCTATTAGCTCTCATCAGCTCAGCACGGTTTATAATGCATTGGCATTATAAAGTGCAGGTTTCGGAATCGCTAATTTCAGGCTGAACCCAGCTGATGAGAGCTAATAGGCTCGAAACCGGTCCTGGGGGTGCCTGAGGTTGGCACAGTTCTAAAGCTACACTTGCTTGTTTCATCAGTACCAATGCCCTGTCAACGACCACCTATAATAGCTCAAAAATCAAGAAATGCCCAAACGATTGCCGCGAAAGCCTTAACAGCTAAAAGTAGCTTATTTCAGTTACGTTAGTTACCTGCAATTTGGTAGGAAAGCAGCAAACAACAGGAGGAAAACGCGACCCATCATGTTGATCACTGCAAATGTTTAGCATCCAATTCTGCGCTATCCTTTTAAGCATCTTAATCTGTCTATCTAATCTAAATCGATCGCATACAAAGTCGTGAGTTCTTCAACGTATATAAAAGACTTACTTGTTGAGTAAGCAGAAATAATAATTACTTAGTCTTGGCACTTGAAAAGGAGTCAACAGCGTTTTAATTTAGTATAAAAACAAGATAGAAGTGTGACAAAAATCTCTTGTACCACGAGGGTGGTTGAGGTGAGCGCAGTGGGAGCAAATAAAACTCAATTTCGGGCTTAAGTTTCGGCAACAGCAGCGGCATTTAAGCCGATTAGACTAAATATTACATACAATTTGTTCGGGATTAGGCCAGGACGGCATTAAAGCGACACTAACCTAGACCGGCCTTCAATTTGTCGCTGATCCAGGGCTAATAATCACTATGCGATGGGCGCTCTCAGCAATGAAATGATCCATTAAGGCGATCCCCCTGATATTGCCATTCTGACCCCGCGTTTTCCTAATTAAAATTACGGATTTTCATGGTCTGAACTCCAAGAAACCGGGTTTTTGTGTTGGTCGTTTCCAGCAGCTTCTGTTCCAGAAAGTTTGCCATGTAATTTTTCAGGGCGATTTTAATTGATTATCACGGCATGAATAAAGATTGGAGAAACAAGTAGTTGGTCTAGCTGAACTGAAATTATAATAATTCCCGACTTGCATACAAGTTCATTAATTTTGCTTTGTAGCACTTGGCTGGAAACTTTCGTTAATTTGACTTGAACAGTTTTTATGGTGCAACATCATAGTTTTGTTGCTAAGCGAAACTCTGAAGCGGCACTTAAAGTTCGCAGCAATGGAGCTTTTTCACTATTTGCAGGAGCGGCTTTGATCGGCCGGATTTTTCGATTTCAGACAAATGCAGAATTTTAGCCACATTCGTTCCAACTGGGGCACTTAAGAAACTGTCGATTATTTTTATGAAAGTGAAGATTCATGCTGATGAGTCGATTCCTCGCCAAATTTTCGCACTATAAGTGCGCACTTGAAGTTGCTTCAGCTTAGACACTGTTTACGTTCGGGTCGCTCTAATCCTAGGCATTCATACATGCTAAAGCAATTTAAAAATTGCCAATACAAAGTGTTTTCTGATTGATAGCAGCTAACTATTTGCCTAAGCAGCTTCTTATCGCAACATACCACAATAATTATTATTTGTATAAACGCCTTTGAATTCGCCCCTTAAGTGTGTCATATTTTCCATAGGTTTAAGTACAGTTTCTAATTGTTTAAGCTGCATAGCACTACTCGCATCAGATAATTAATAGTTTATTACTGATGTTTGAACTTGTGCCAAAACAGGGTTCTACAATCAGGCGATAACAAACCGATGTTGTAAAAACTAGCGCTGATTGGCAACGAAGTTTCGATTTCCGGAATACTGGCATTGTAAAAATTGAAAATTCGCCCTAATAAAAGGCAAATCAGCTACAGACAATTTTGACGAGCGAAGATCTGGGGATGTTCGCGTCCATATCGCGACATGTTTTGTCATTTTATATTCAAATTTGCGCAAAGAACTGTGGATGTTGGAAAAACCGTCGCTTTGATAGTTTGCATACACTGCAGACATTCAATATCCATATGGATTTTACGTGAGCGACGGGATCCCGTTGCTTGTCCGTCCATGTTTTATGGACAACATTTTCTGATCGTTTTCCTGTTTAGACGTCCAGCGTTTGCAGGCATGGTCTTTTTTTATGTTGTACGTGCGCATTTTTGCTTGTATGAAGGCCATAAAGTTTTCAATGTTTGGCCCGCTTTTTTAACAGTCTGGCAAGTTAGCACCTGTTTCCCTTGTCTGCAGCTTCAATTCCCTGCCGCCTGGTTGTTCGGCGATTCTTCAAACTATTTAACGGTTCCGGGATAATTGTCGGTCCAGGAAAATTGTTGGAAAGTAAAAAAGGGGCGCTTGCGCCCCCGAAATGTGAATGTTGGTCCGCTAAATCGCATTTCAGTCTTCGCGTGTCGTTGTCGCGCTCCAATTGCCCATTTGCCTCTACCCTTTTTTGAGGGCAGCGAAGCGAACACGTTGATGGTTTTCCCGCGCTGAAAACCCTAAGGAAAGCATCTCAGCGTCCCAGTTTCAGTGGTAATAGAAATTTGAGTTATTTTGCGACCGATTGGGCTTAAATTAGTCGAAATTGCTGTTTGTCTTCAATGCAAATTCCTGCCTGCTAACTTTCTTCTTTTCCGCAGCATTCAACCTCAACCCGGGATCATGGAAGCCTCTCTACTGGTGCTGCTTGCATTCATTGCCGGTAAGTTTTTGCAATTTTAGTAAACCTGTGCCTGTTGCCTGCATAATCTCGTTGTCTGCAAAATTCATCCTAAACATACCCTAATTTAGGTCGAGAATGGTTAATGCTTTGAGCATTTTTTAACCAAATTTGAGTTTCTGTTCCTAATATTTTTTTAATTTTCAATAACCAATAGAACCACATGGAAATGTGCAATCAATAGTTCTTCCGAGCCAGTTGATACTGGAGTAATATTTATTGTTTGGCAATTGGCAACGTTTCCACATTTAAATCCGGAGCACGCAATTTGGCCCGAATACATTTCACGTTCGCAATAAATAGTCTTTCCACCCACATACAGTGCGATTTCAACCCAAACTTAATATAACTTTAACTGCACCGCATTTTCCCACTAAATGGGAACAGCGCGGCATTTCCATCTTCTAGCGATGAGGAAAGCGTTTGGGAAAATTGCTGTTCGCCCGATCAGTCTTCCCAGCATTGTTCCATTGCCAGTTCTTCATCAATATCAAATGAAAAACCACATAACCTTTCAGTGATTTGATTCCGCTGCCAAGCAAACCTGTTGCAGAGAGTTGCTTGATTTGGGTTCTATTAGCGTGATTAGTCTTGAAAAGCCTTCAGCATT